GGGCTCGCGGGCCGGAGAAGACGGGCCGGGCCGGGTCGTACCAAGCGCGGGGGACGCCCCGTTGTAGGGGTCGCCGCGGCCGAACCACTGCGGCGCCCGTGGGGGGGATCCCGGCGCGTACCAACCGGGACCGCGAGGGGGTGGGGCCGGAGCGTACCAAAAAAGGTCGGCCGAGCCCCGGAGAGGAACGATTGGCAGTGGCGTGGCGATGGGCCGTCCCAGCGAGGGGGCGGAGCTGCGAAGACGTGCGGGCCAGGAGCAGCTTTGAGGGGGGTGTGGCGACAGCGAGACTGCGTTGGGAAGAGTGGAAGAAATCAGGCGAAACCAAGTCGGCCACGGGGGGCGATATAACACAAGGAGCGCTCACCAAAGTCCCGAGAGATGACACCAAAAGACCTGGGGAAAGACGGGAGGCTGGACTAGAGGGCCAGGGGGCCACGGAAACTACCTGGAGGCCTTGGGGCTATGAGTCGCACCACGCACGAGGGAAAGGCTTTTGGAAGCGGTGACGTGGCTAGGCGGGCAAGGGACTACAACTCCCAGAGTACTACGCGAGACATGGGCGGGGTCGGAGGGGCCCTACAGAACCCATTGGTCTTAGCTGCTTGCCCATTGGCTCCTGGGCCAAGGTTCCGCCCACCTCCTCCTGCACCTCCAAGATTCTCAGACCGCTTGTCTCACAGTTCGTTGATTCTTTCGCTCAACTTAAACCGAGCGCCCACGTAGTTGCTAGTTGTGTACGATGTTGTTTCCGTTTCTAGCAACGAGGGGCGAAGAGTCGCCCTGGGACGTGGGCTCGCAGCTAGAGTCACCCCCCGAGAAGGCCGGTGGTAGGGCGAGGGAAGATGGGGCAGAGATTGTTTTCTGTTTTGCAGGACTGAGGATGGAACCCAGGACCCCGGTTTGCTAGGCTTGGGTTCGACCATTGAGCCAGCCCCTAACTTTTTTGTGTACTGACCGTGTACGGTGTGAACTCACGGCCTCAGCTTGCTAGGTTGGCTCTCTACCATTTTAGGAACCAGCCCTGCTTGTTGGTCACTTTGAAAATGGAGCCTTACCCAACTTGGCTGCCCCAGCTGCCTTGGAATCATGCTCTTCAAGGTCCCAACCTCCCAAATAGCTGAAATTACAGGAGTGTGCAACCAGCACCTGGCTGCAGTTTGAGATAGTGACCATTTTCACTCACCCAAACAGGCTCGCAACGATGTTTTGTTTTTCCCCATTTCCTCACGAACTTTCCAGTCGTGTCTCATTGCTATTAGAAATTATAACAATGCAAGTCAGGTGCTAATGGCTCACTGTAATCCTAACTATTCAGGAGGCTGAGGATCATGGCCAGCAAAAAGCCAGAAGTGGAGGTGTGGTAGAGTGCCAGCCTTGAGCAGAAAAAAACCAGGGGACAGTGCCCAGTACACACACACACAAACACACCATGCATTCCAGCCTGGCCCCAGTAGTAGCAGTACTTGCCAAAAACAAAAGGATCAGACTGTTTCCAACTACCCACTCCCTTCTCCCTTCCGGGGGCAAGCTAGTCTTTACACACTGGGGTGACTTTTATCTTCTGGTGTTTGGGAGAAAAGCTTTCTCTGGAGGTTGGCTCTGTCAGTGCTGGCTGGCTTTCAGGCCGGCCGCCCCCTCACCTGTGCTGGGGGTGCTCCACTTGTCCTCTCTGTCTCTGCATGTATAGCCTGATCAGGTCACAACAGTGCCCATGTCTCACCTAACTGGATGTGATGATCAAAAGGACCCTGGCTGGCCACTGATGACCAAACGTGGTTGGCAACACGTCTTATCTTTCTGACAGTCTGTTTTGGAGCCCAAGGACGATTTCCTGCCTGGCATATTCACCCAGCGAAGCGCGTGCAGAAAACCTCCAGCCCTTGCTCTTCTTCCCCTTCAGCGGCCTCTGCCAAGAGACTACTCCTTCCTCAAAAACCAAAACAAGAAACAAAACCAAAAACCAAAACCACCACTTCCATGGCACCACTCTTGCCTGGCTCCCTGCCCACCCCTCACAATGTGGGTCTTCCTGAGGGTACCCTCTTTGCTCTGGAATCTTCTCCTTCCAGAGATCACAAAAGAACGGCAGCTGGGTGGCAGATTTTGTTTGATCTTCAGTTTTTTAATTTGCAGGCCATTAGGCGAGGCAAGCACTCCACATTCGCCACAGTCCCCGTCATTCCCTACTGTCTTACACCCATCCTCGTCACACATTTCATCACCTGCCCAAGCCCCTGGAGTTATCTGAGTTTTCAAAAGCCCCTGCTACATGGCTGGCCTGGCACCTTCTGCTGTCACGAGCCCCCTACCCCATCTTCACATGCCTGAGAATCTTCAGGAGTGTTTGCTGTAAAGGTGGATGGCCAGCCTCCTCCCAGCCCTAGACTTGGTCCAAAAGCTCCAGGGCAGGGATCAGAAACTCGTGTCTCCAAGGGGCCAGGCGGCTCACACAAATGAGTGAACTAGTCAGGTATAAGAAAAGTCCAGGGCCACAAAGAAGATCAAATTGGATCTTTACTCAACTATGGTGAAGGCACGGAACAGAATACAAACATGTATGATACTGTCGTCTTATGCTTTAGATTCGAAATTGAAAAAATACAAATTGAAAAATAGAACTATTTTAATTATTAAAATTTTGCTCTCTCATAATTCTCTTGCTCCTGTGAGCTGCGGCTGGAGGGCCGGGCGAGGCCGGGCCGGCAGGGGTGCTCAACCAGCCTCGAGTCCTTCCACTGGAGCCATTATTTTTGAGTCAGAGTTGTAACGGAAAACAGCTGCTGGACCCGCGTGGGTACCCCCAAACGTGGACAGAGCTGAAAAAAATCTCACAGTCTTCCAAAAGAACAGTGTTTAAGAACCAGTGCCCGCCCGCCCTGATTTGCGGTCTGGGCTCACACAGTAGGCCACGGGGCGACAACAGCAAAGGGCCAGCATTGGCTCATTTCAAGAAAGGAGGGGTGGGTGGTCCGGGGAGCCTCTTGGTGGGGGGAGGGGGAGGGCTGGTGTGGGGCCCACAAATGTGGTAGACAGTAGCCTTTCACAGTCAGAAAGCAACTACAGCGAAGGAAGAGCCCCATTGTGTCACCGGCTCCTGGCGCTGGCGGGGTTGGGGCCCACATGGCCATGTTCAAGGAGTGGCTTGCGCGGAGCCCCGCAGAGGCAGCCGGGGTGCAGAGGGGGTGCGGCTTTTGCGTGATCTGAAATGGCCCCAAGTTCAACCGCTGGGATTTCTGTCACAAGCAGGGCTCCCCTGGCCCGTGGCTGGAGCTCAGAGCTTTGTGGCAAAGGTCTCCATGACGTGTGCTACTGGATTCCTGGGGAGGGCGGGGGGAGGGGGGATGGGGGGGCGGACCTCAGTCCTGAGCAGATGCCGCAGGGTGACAGATCCTGGCGTTGCCACGGCTGCCTGTGGTTGTGCTTACGAACCCCTGAGGTGCACAGGGACACCGGCTTGTCTCAAGACATGACTAAGGGGGGGGGGCTATCTTCCAGCAGAGGGCCTGCCTTGGCCCGACCCCCCCCCCCCCCGCCAAGGGAACACATCTTCGGTCACCTCAAGATTCTCACCACCACCAATAAATAAAGCTAAGTGGTTGGACAGAGTTTAGGAGCGGCGGGGAGAGGAGGCCACGTGCGGAGGACTCAGCCAGGCACCCGTAAACTCATGGCGCCGTGCAAATGCCCGTGGCACTCAACCCGCCTCACAGTCGTGCATTCCAACTCCTCTCCACACTCGGGTGCTCGTGCCCGGGGTTGGGGGTGGGGTGGGGTGGAGTTCTCTTCCCATCACTCCTTCCGCTCCTACTGACACTTGAGCCCCTTCTTGAGCTCGCTGAGGATGGCGGCGCGCGTCTGCTCCGTGTACTGGCTGTAGCTCTTACTGTGCTGGGACTCATAGTGGCGCTTCAGGTTGTACTCTTTCAACACAGACACGATTTTTTTGCATATTAAACACGTAGGCATGTTCTTCACTTCCACAAAGAAATAGTCTCGCTCCCATCTTTCTCGAAACACGCGGCCCTCTCCTTCTCTCTTTCGTTTGGCCACTTTTGAGAGACATGGGTATAAGAAAGAGTTCACTTTTCTCTGATCGCTCCCACACAACAACACAGTGCCAGCCCCGAGACGCCGAGCGCCCTCCCCGCGGGGTGCGGGAGGGAGTGCTGGGGACTGTGGCGAAGCCAAGGGGCCTGCTTAGCCCGCTGCTGCCAGGTGGAAGGGTGGGCCCAGGGGTGCCAGGTCTTCTGATTGGTTAAGAGCAGCCGTGTGTGTGTGTGTGTGTGTGTGTGTGTATCATTCTGTTTTGCACAACTAACTCATCAGAAAACAAGTGCCACATCTGCTCACCCAGGGAAGGCCAAACAAAACTCGGCTGCAGCGCAGCCACGGCCCGCAGCCACGAGACGCAACCTCCCCTGGGATGGGCCAGGAACCCGCATTGCCAGCCAGCGAGCCAAGTGCGGTCCACACACGGACCACGCTGACCAACACTACCCTACATCTGACAAGATAGCCACTCTGCCTGCAGGACACCCCTGCGCCCTGCCGCCCCGGCCTCTCCTAGGAGGGCTTTCCAAAGCCTCGCCTCGCCTGGCCTGAGCCAGCTCCCCGCCTCAGCGCTGGCCACCGTCCATCCACCTCGTGCACACCAACGCCTGCCCTGTCCACGCCTGTGTTTCCACCATCACACGCTGCCCCTCGGGCACCACTGACCTCCTACCTCACACCTGTGCCACTCAGGCCCTCCGGGGGGGCTGCTGGCACTCAGCACACCCCTCTCGGCCTCCTGCATAGCCGAGGGGTCACCCTGACACCAGAGCCAGCCACGCCTGCCCCCGGCGTGCCGCCTACCCTGAGCCCCCAGGATACTCCTAACTGCCCACACTGGGCTCTGAGCCCCGCCCCGCCCGTGGAGCCGTGCCCCAGGGCCTGCCCTCCTGACTGCTGCTGCTCTCTGCAGGTGCCGGGAGCCCCGGTGGGTCAGATGCTCTTCGGGGCTCCCTGCCAGGCCCATGCCACACGGGACCCTGGGTGCTTCCTGCCTGGCTGGCAACACTGCCAGCTGAGGCAACAGGACGTAGCCCCGGGTCTCCTGCCCACAACTGGGGGACGTCAGTGACGGGAGCCGGGGTGTGTGTTCAAAGGAACTTTATTGGGTGTTGGGGTTCAGATGAGATCCATGAGGATGTCGTCCTCCATGACGCTGGGCTGCAGGCCCGGCTGGGGGACCGGGCCCCGGGGACCCCCGCTCAGCAGCATCTGACCTGGGGGGCAGGGGAAGGGACTGCATCTCCCAGAAGGCCCTGGGCCTGTGTCCTCCCTCCTCCTCTGGAGCCCAGGCACTCCTTTTTCCCACGAAGCTTTGGGGACCCAATGGCGGCACCTTCTGACCCACGTGCTGGCAGTTTCCCATGAGCCTCTCTGACCCTAAGACCGTTTCCAGCGCCCATGGGCGAGGATCATGGAGAGACTTTTTGTGCCCACAGGCTGGCCTTCCCGTGGCCCTCAAAACCCTCGAAGGGCCTCGGACGGGACACTGTCCACACCCCTGCCCTCCTCTGCAGCCCCTTACCTGGAAGTGGCGCACGGGGGGGCAGCTGCGCAGGCCAGGACTGGGCGGGCGGCGGGTGCAGGAGAGGGGGCCCCAGCTGGGGCTGCCCCAGGCTCTGGTGTGGTGGGGGCAGCAGTGCGGGCGCCCCTGGTGGCTGCAGGTGGTGGAGGGAAGCCTGGGGCAGGGGCACCCCAGACTGGGGCTAGGGGAACAAGAGGGAGGCTCAGAGGCCGCTGGAACCCATGTGGCTCCCCATGCTGCCTCTGGCGTGGAGGCGGCTGGGAGGGGTCTGGGGGTGCCGAGTGCGGAGGACAGCAGCGGGGTCTGCCTGGACCTCACCCCGCCGACCAGAGCCAGCCTCCCTCCACCACACCCCAAATCTCACCGGTGGGGGATTGAGGAGGAGACTCCGTAGTTGAGGGTTGGCTCCAGGGTTCTGAGGCCGAAGGGTGGGTCCTGGAGGGGGTGGACCAGGGGCGGCTCCGGGGGGGCCCTGGGGTGCACCTGGAGGAGCCTGGGTGGTACTTTGAGGCTGGGGTTGCCCTGCGGCCCCAGAGGCCCCCACAGTGGCCTGAGGCTGGGGCTGCGGTGCACGGAGCTGGAGCTGGTGGAGAGAGATGGGGGTGAGGGAGAAGGGCATAGCCCCAGACTTCTTGATCTCAGAGTAAGTGAGAACAACAGGTGATGTGCAGTCCCTGACTTCCCCCAGCTGTGTCCTCACCAGATTCTGTGGGGGCCTTGCTTGGTCCTCTAGAATAGGGCCCAGGCCTGGAGGCGCCTGCTGTGCCCCCATCTGCAAGGGGAGAAGAGGAGCAGGTCAACGGGGGCCATGAGGATTGGGGCACACAGAGAGTGGGAGGGGGGGGCTGAAACATTTTCTTGGGGGCCAGGCAGGCTTGGGAGGGGGAAACACACTGCGAGGCACCGAGGAGAACGGCCTCCAGGAAATAGGGTGGGAGCTGGGAAGGTGGCTCAGTGGTAGAGTGCTTGCCTAGAATGCATGAGACCTTGGGTTCAATTCCTCAGCACCACATAAACAGAAAGCCAAATGTGGCACTGTGGCTCAAGTGGTCGAGTGCTAGCTGTGAGCTGAAGAGCTCAGGGACAGCACCCGCCCAGAGTTCAAGCCCCACGAACGACCCCCCACAAAAAAGAGGCTGTGTAGAACTTGGGGGGCCATGACTTGAGAGACTGGAGATGGAAAAGGCCAGGCGAGCCCGACTGAGCTGGGGTCATGGCTCACCCCTCGCTGCTGCTCCAGCTTCTGCTGCTGGACTTGCTTGTGGTTGGTGATGACCTGACGGATGCCGTTGACAAAGCCGCTCTGGTCGTAGGGGATGAGGCCCATGAAGATCTTCTTCTTGGACGAGTACAGCAGCATGAGCACGCGCACCTCGCACGGGGCCGTGTGGGGGAAGTGAACGCAGCCCGCCTGCAGACAGAGGCTCTAGATCCCTCTCCACCCCTGGAGGTGGCCCACCAGCCCTCTCTACCTCCCGGTTCTAGAAGGTTTCAGAAGCTCAGAAGTGGCTGAGCAGAGAGCCCTCATGATTGACAGCTGCTCTGAGGACTTGGGAGTGGTTTGGGAGGAGCTGGAGTTCTGGCAGGTATGGGGCAGGATCAGCCTGGGGGTAGGGGTACAGCTCAGGGGACAGGGGAGACAGGAGAGGCCATGTTGCCAGGGGCGGATGGGATTGGGACCTGGCAGGCAGGTGCCTGGGCCATGGCGGCATTCAGCCCACAGCAGGCCCAGGCCCAGTGCACTGCACTGGCCTCCCCATGTCCAGTCTCGTCCAAGTGGACAGGGCACAGGGAGCCCTGAGGAAGAGCCCCAGACAACCCCAACACTGGATCCCAAGTCCCCAATGTGAAACTAGGCCTGCACCTCCACTTCCAGGCTCCTATTTACGTCAAAAATCAACATCTGCTCTGGTGCCTGGCTCGGACCCCAGCCACACACACAGGAGACACGGTTCTCAGTGATGGGGCAGGGCAAGTGGTCACTCGGCCCAGCCACCACTGAGGGCACCCCCCCCCATGCCCCATGGACACAAGGCTCCTTCAGTTGAACCAAACTCCCAGGAGCTCAGAAGGGTGGACAGAAGAGCAGGTGCCCGGGTCACCCCACACTCACAAAGCCATTGCCCATGATGCGGTAGAGGCCCTTGAGGGACTCCTGGTCCTTGTTGAAGTGGAACTGCACCATCCTCGAGTTCCGGAACAGAGGGCCCAGGGTAGTCTGCAGACACAGGCGGCTGTGAGGAGAGGAGCCGGGGCAGGAGGGACAGGGGGAGCAGGTGGGGGAGAAGAGAAAGGGGGGGAAAGGAAGGGGGGAAAGGAGGGAAGAGGGTGGGAAGGAAGGGCAGGGTGAGGCGCTCACCAGCAGCTGCTGGGGGATGAGCTGCATGATCAGCTTCTGCGGCCACTGCTCCGTCTTCCTGGGGGAGGGGGGCAGGAGGGGGTCAGCAGGGTGGGACCCCAGCCTCCCCCTCCCCCACCACACACACCCAGGCTACCACCTACAGGTTCTCTCCATGGTTCACGTAGACCTGACAGGGCAGTGACCGGGTCAGCTTGGTGCTGGCATCCACCGAGGCTGGCTTAGGTTTCTGAGGGGGGAAAAATACATCTCAGGGAGGAGGGCTCCCCTGGTCCCTCCTAACCCCCATCCTGGTGGCCCCAAAGCTCAGGACACCCCAACTTGAAGTCTTGGTTCCTCCTCCACCAATCCACGTTTATCTAGTCTCAAAAGTCCCCAAACTTGGGGGCTCCTCTAGTCCTAAGCCTGGGGGCTCACCTAGTCCTAAGTCCTACAGCCCACTAGACCCCAGGGCCAGAGTTCTGGGGTCTTCACCATACCCTATCTGGGTTCCTCCTCCACCAATCCACGTTTATCTAGTCTCAAAAGTCCCCAAACTTGGGGGCTCCTCTAGTCCTAAGCCTGGGGGCTCACCTAGTCCTAAGTCCTACAGCCCACTAGACCCCAGGGCCAGAGTTCTGGGGTCTTCACCATACCCTATCTGACATGGGCGCTTGGATTATAGGCAGAAGCCACCAAGTGCTCGACCCAACACAACTTTTTTTTTTTGTTGGTTGTAGGGGGCTTGAAATCTGGGCCTGGGCACTGTCCCTTAGCTCTTCAGCTCAAGGCGAGTACCCTACCACTTGAGCCACAGCACTTCTGGCTTTTTTTCCCCTGCTTATTTGGTGCTGAGGAATTGAACCCAGGGCCTCATGCGTGCAAGGCAAGCGCTCTACCACTGAGCCACCTTCCCAGTCCCCTCAACACAACTCTTAACCTGAGCTGCAAACCCGTGGACTCTTGGGACTCATCTCTGGACCACAAGTCCTGTACTTCAGGAGGCCCCTGCCTGTCCACTCACCTCTTGCCACTCTAGAACCCCACTCCATGCCAGGAGCTTGTTGGGGACAGACTGCTGCCCACCGAGAGCTGGGGCCCCCATCTGGGCGGGGGAAGGGCCACTCACCCCGCCGGGGGCCACGGAGCCAGCCTGAGGAAGAGGAGGAGGAGGAGGAGGTGAGGCCATACTAAAAAGACAGAACAGAGCCCACTCCTCCTTTCCTCCCACAAGGCCCCCGCCACTCCAAACACAAGGATGGTGAAGTCCATGTAGCCTGAACTCCCAGTTCCAAGGTCCCAGGGTGCCCTGTGGTCCCAGAGCTCTGCCTGGCTCTGACACAGCGAGATTCTGCCCCAGACTCTCCCACCCCAAAGCCACACAGCATGTGCACCACAGGCTCCAAGATCCTGGACCCGGGGAAGCTAATCAGGAAGTCCTTAGCCAGGGGAAGCGGTGGAGGACAAGCCAGAACATACCATAGACGCGGCCCCAGACGGGGCAGGAGGAGCCAGGCCTGGGCCAGGCGCTACAGTAGACACCAAGCTGGGCTGGGATGAAGGAGGCGGCTTGGGGGCACCAGGGGGCCCTTGTGGCAGTGTAGAGGCTGGGGCCTGGCTGAAGGGGGGTCCCACTCCTGAGGCAGCTTGCTGCAGAGGGTTGATGGGCGAGACTGTAAGAGAGATCGGGGCACAGGTGAGCTCATCGTGTGGGAAGAGCCCCGCCACCCACCTGCAACTTCAGCCCTGGACTCACAGCGTGGGCCCAGCCCAGCCTTCTGGTTCTTGGCAGCCTCCACTGCATTCTGGGCAGCCACCTGAGCGGCGCTCAGGTTCCCAGGGACCTGAGGATGGAGGGAGCCAGTGAGAACCGTGCACCCTGGGCCTGTGCGCCCAACAATGAAGACACCCACCCCGCTCAGGAGGCCACGACTCTCACATCACCCCCTGCCACCACTGCTCCACCCACCCACCCTCCTTCCCTCCCAACATCCACTGGGGACCGCTTCCCCTTCCACGTCCACCCCAGGGCTCACCCAGGTCCTCCCAGGAGACCATGGCTCCTACAGGCCCGAGTCACCTCCATACCTGGTACTGTGGTGGGACGGGGGGCAGAGCTTGCTGGGGTGCTGTGGAGAGGGTGGCAGCCGAGGACGGGGCAGGAGGCAGGGGAACCGGCTGCTTCGGCTGGAGCGGGCCTGCGGCTGAGCTACCCCCAACTGGAGCCCAGGAGAAGGAGTTGGAGGTGGAGAGTGGAAAAAAGCCAAAATCAGGTCAGAGGGCACAGGAGATACAACAGCCCCAGCCCAAGGGGCGAAAAAACCCCAAACCGGGTCAGCAGGCCTGGGGAGATGGTAGCCCTGGCCGGAATGCATGGCTCACCAGGCAGCACCAGCCCGCGCACCAGCACCATGTGCCTGGGGTCCTGGCTCACGTCCGCAGGGGGCTGCAGTGGCTCCAGCAGGGCGGGGGGCGCCGCCTTCTCAAACAGAAGGCGGAGGGCAGGCAGCTTCCGTGGAGACACAATGGAGAAGTGTATCCCTCGCTGCGGGGCAGGGGGCAAAGGGTCAGGACAAGGTCCCCCTCTGCCTCCCACCTCACCAGAGACTGGACAGCCAGGGCCCTAAAACTACAACTCCCATCAGGCACTGGTCCAAGGACAGCCAGAGCTGTAACTTGAACCCACACCATGGAGGGATCAGGTGTTGAGCCATCTATGACTGCTCTGGGACAAAGGGGTCCATCCTGTAGTCCTCCTCCCTCAAACCCAGGGGCTCATCCCACAGACCTGCTCCCTCAGACTGGGGCCCCTCACCTCCCCAATCTTCTGCACGAGGCTCTCAGTGGTGCACCCTGAGTACGTGGTACTCTCCACAGCTGGCAGCAGATATGGGGGCGAGTTGCAGATCAAGAGACAGACTCGGTGTGTCTGGCCACTGGGGGGGGGGGGATGAGGAAGATGTGAAGCAGGCACCCCAAGGGCTTGGAGGTGCACACAGCCCACCCACACAAAACCGTGTGCAAAGCCTTCTTTCGCAAATGACAGCACCAAAGCGCCCAGGTTTGGTGACTTGCTGCAGGACATCAGCAGCTAAAGGGGGCTGGAGGAAGTCCCACCAGCTTCTCATAGACGGGCTATGCATGGCGAGGCAGGAAAGAGAAAGGGCAGGAGGAAGGAGACCAGGGCGCAAGGAGCGGGCGAGGAGGGACTCACATCTGCTCTCGCATCTTCTTGAAGTCATCAAACAGCTGCAGGGCGGTGCTGAGGCCTTCTGCGATGAGGCTGCAGCTCTCCCCGCCCCCGCCCATGAACCTGCAGGGGGTCGGGTGCTCATCAGATCCAGGGGCCACACATAGGAGCTGCCACCATCCCAACCCCATGTCCTGCCAAACAGCCTGTCCCCGACTGCCCCGAAAGTTAGCCACCAACTACAAGCTCCCTGCTCTTTCCATGGCACCTGAGGGCCAGGCCTGGAGGCCAGCAGGCCCCTACGAGGCCTGGAATCGGGGAATGGATGGGCAAGGAGCCTGGAAGCAAGCTCAGGGCCCTGTGAACCCCAGTCCTGTCCATCTCCTTGCTCCTTCCTCTCTTCCAGGCCTTCTGCTCCATCTTTCCTGTCTTTCTTTTTCTTTTTTTCTCTCAAGCCTGGCACTCTATCACTGAAGCCACAGCTCCACTTCCAGCTTTTTGCAGATTAACTGGAGATAAGAGATTCATATGCTTTCCTGCTCAGGCTTAGAATCAGGAAAAAGAAGAAAAGAAGAAAGGTTGGAAGTGGAGGCATGGCTAAAAGAGTGAAGTGTCAGGTGCTGAAAGAGCTCAAAGCCCCAAGGTTCAAAAAATAAAAAAAATAAATGGTAACTTAAAGGCTCGGGGCGTGGCTCAAATGGAAGAGCCATACCTTGTCATCCTAGCTACTAAAGAGGCAAAGACAGGAGGATGGAAAATTCCAGGCCAGCCTTGATTACATAAAGGAAGAAAGCGTGAAACTCCCTAACCTTATGAGACCCAAAAAAACTTGCTTTTGTCTCACTGAACACTGTCACCCAAGACACATCCCAGCTGACACAAACCAAATGAGAAAAACTTAATGAAGGGCTGGGAATGTGGCTTCATGGTAGAATGCCTGCTAGCATGCATAACGCTCTGGGTTCCATTCCTCAGTACCACATAAACAGAAAAGGCCGGAAGTGGCGCTGTGGCTTAAGTGGTAAAGTGCTAGCCTTGAGCAAAATAAATCAATAAGTCAATAAATAAAATAGAAGTTCTGGGACAGTGCCCAGGCCCTGAGTTCAAGCCCCAGGACTGGCAAAAAAAAAAAAAAAAATTAAAGGAAAAAAAAAAAAAGAAGAACAAAATGTAGTCTGAATACCACAAAGTTTGTGCTGAATCACATTCCCAAAGAAACCCAAAGATGAAATTACACCGAAAGTGCTCCGGGTCTCTGCTAACCTACTCAGGGCCCTCTGCCCCTTCCCCGCCCCAGTGCTGATGCAAACTCAAGGCCTGATGCATGACAATCAAGCACTCTACCACTGAGCCTCCAGCACCCATTTTTTTGTCTCTTCCATTACCAGGCCCCAGGGGCCTCGGTGCCAGATGCCATAAGAGGCAATGATCAAAGTGAATAAACAGGACCAGCAGCCATCCTGGACGCAGGGGTAGTCGCCCAGGGCTGAGCCCTGCCTGCCTGAGGCCTGCTGACAATTCCTTTCACCTTTTGGGAGCTAGAAACTTTTGCTGACCAATTTAACTGCCATCATGCAATGGGGACCCCATCATGCCTGCCTTCCACCACTCCTCTGTGGAGGTCATTAGCCTTGAAAGAAAGGATAAGGGACATGGGGGAATGAGCTTTCCCAAGAAAGGCCTTCCCTGCCCCCCACATGCTGGACATGCCCGCGGAGATAAGATTTCCCCAAGAATGAACAAAACTTGCTGTTACAGCCCCAGGAATGTCAGGGACACTGAGTGCAGATGGTTACAAATGAGTAGATCCAAACCGTGAGAAGAATGCCTGAGCATGCTTATCTGCAGGGCGTTTGTCTTTGGCTCTGGGAACAGCACATTCCAAGTTAAGGGCCAGAGACACGAAGCTCAAGGTGTTCCCTTCTCAGCCCGCTTATCTCCCAGAGATTTCTCCCACGGGGAGGGCTGCTTCTCCCAACACAGCCTATCTGCCATTACCTTCCTTCCCTGTGGTACTGCGCCCCACAGGAGGCAAACAACAGGAGAAAGACAGAGATCCCAACACTCACAGGGCAGTGAGGGGACCAGCAGAGGATCATGGGACAGAAGAGGGAGCAACAAGCTGCTTGAAGGAATGAAGAAAGGAATCACTCACTCATTCATCCAAGTATTCCTGGGGCCTGCTTTAGGTACGACGGGGACTACTGACTTGAGATGCATGAGACTACACTCAGAGACCTCATTTTGTAAGTTATTTATGAGCTAGCCAACTTGTTCTCCACTGGGGTGAATCTTGTCTCCACCCTCCCCCCCCCTCCAACATTCAATAATTCCTAGAGATGATTTTATTTTTTTTGGTTGGTTGTGGGGCTTGAACTCTGGGCCTGGGCACTGTCCCTCAGCTCTTCAGCTGAAGGTGAGTACGCTACTGAGTCACTGCGCGACTTCCGGTATTCTGAGTGGTTTATTAGAGATAAGAGTCTCATGGTGGCTCACACCTATAATCCTAGCTACTCGGGAGGCTGAGATCTGAGGATCTTGGTTTAAAAGCCAGCCCAGGCAGGAAGGTCCACGAGACTCTTATCTCCAATAAACCATTCAGAAAACTGGAAGTGACACTGTGGCTCAAGTGGTACAGCGCTAGCCTTGAGCTGAAGAGCTGAGGGACAGCGCCCAGGCCCCACGACTGACAAAAAAAAAAAAGGAAAAGAAAAGCACTAGGGATAGATGCCACGGCTGGAGCAGTGGCAGTTTCTGCTCAGCATCCTGTGTGCATGCGCACACACGTACACGCATACACATGTGCGCACACCTAGCAGCTTCCTCACTTCTCTTGTAGGAGTTCACTCCCTCTAGGGAAAGCCAGCCTGGTCACACAGCCAGCCGGAAGAGGTCTGAGACAAGGGCCACAGGGTGGGGCTCCTTGGAAACAGCTCTTCTATGCTACTCTTGAGTGACTGCAACCCTAAGAGAGACCACAACTGAACCATCTAACTAAGTGTAAGTCCCAAATTCCAGACCCACAAACAGTGCACAGGTTAATTACTTGTTTAAAAAAGAAAGAATTGAAGACCAGAAAGCAAAACAGAAGGTGAATACGACCAAGGAAAACTATATATACACTTATGGAACTATCACAATGAAAACCTATACAATACACACTAATAAAAAAAAATGCAGGCTGGGAAAGTAGCTCAGTGGTAGAGCGCTTGCCTTGCATGCCTGAGGCCCTGGGTTCGATTCCTCAGCACCACATAAGCAAAAAGAAAAAAGCCGGAAGTGGTGCTGTGGCTCAAGTGGTAGAGTGCTAGCCTAGAGCTGAAGAGCTGAGGGAGAGCGCCCAGGCCCAGGCCCACAACCGGACCCCCCCCCCAAAAAAATTGCTGGGCAGGGTAGTATATGCCTATAATCCCAGCATTCAAAGAGAGTGGGGAGGAGGATCTCAGGTTCAAGGCCAACCTACAGAGCATAGTGAATCCTGGGCTAATCTGGGCTATAAAACTCTTGTCTTGAAAAGACTCCTTGTAGTGTTCAACCACTAAGTTGTTACGGGGAACCTCATTATATAGCAACAGATGAAAACGGTAATGCACAATACACCACCATTGCTACTTTGGAGAATGAGCCACAGGCACAGGAGCCTTTCCCCTCTGGGGAGAGAGGTTCTGCTGAAACTGTACACATGAATAGATAGGTCAGACAGAAACAACTCCATCCTACAACTCCTTGAAGGTAATATTCAAAGAGGGGAGGAAAAAATAAAAAAAGAAAAGTCTATGGGGAAGAAGGAGCTGTCATTCAACCCCAAGACACAAGACTCCAGAACTAAAATGTGAAGCTGGAAGACCTGACCCAAACCACACAGCAGGATCTCCTAGCCCAGCCCCAGCCCCTGGATTCAGGCCTCAACACACCCATTTGAAAGGCCAAGGACACAGGGCTGAGGTGGCAGAGGAGAGGGTCACACACAGTACAAGGAACAGGATGCATCCTGCCAAGCACAGAATCCTCCCCCAAGTGACAAAAGGGACAGAAACACATCACCCTGGTGGTCGCTTCAGCTACCCAAGGGGAGAGAGCTCCAGCCCAAGCCACCACAGTCCCCCCACCCTCTCCAAACAGTGGGGAGTGCTCACCTAATGCCATCCAGCCAGGTGACAAACTCATAGGCGCTGCTGGTGGGGGCGTGGCATTGTACGTAGGACTCCGGGGCACAGTCCACCGTGTTGAAGACCACAAGGCTATACTGGGTTCCCCCATACTGAAAATGGGAGACAGAGACTTTTAATCTGGGAGGAAAGCTCCAGTGAATCCAAGAAGGAACTAGGGCTCTCAGCTATCTCACACACCGAAACCCTGACCCAAACTTCCTTCCCCCTCAGAACTCCAGGCCTGAGCCTCTGCTCTCAGACTCAGGGGTCCAAGCCCCAAGCCTCCTCCCTCAGACCCAGGAGACCAGGTCCAGCCCCCAGTCTTCCTTCCTCAGACTTAGGGCTCCAGGCCCCAGCCCTTCTCCCTCAGATTCATTAGATCCAGGACAAACATCCTCTCTCAGACCCAGGGATTCAGCTCAACCTCCCCTCTCAGACTATGGGTCTAGGGCCCCAGCCTCCTCCCTCAAACCCAGGAATCTAGACCCCAGAGTCCTCCTTCAGACCCAGGAGTCCAGGGCCAAACTCTTCCCTCAGACCCAGAGGGCCAGCCCCCAGCCTCCTCCCTCAGACCCAGGGCTCCAGGCCCCAGCCTCCACTCTCAAACCTAGGGGTCCAGGCTCCAATCCTCCTCCCTCAGACCCAGGAGACCAAGTCCAGCCCCCAGTCCTCCTTCGTCAGACTTCGGGCTCCAGGCCCCGGCCCTTCTCCCTCAGATCCATAGCTCCAGGACAAGCTTTCTCTCTCAGACCCAGGGATTCAGGCCCAGACTCCTCTTTCAGACTTAGGGTCTAGGTCCCAGTCTCCTCCCTCAAACCCAGGAGTCTAGACCGCAGCGTCTTCCCTCAGGCTCAGGGGTCCAGGCCCCAGCCTCCACCCTTAGACCCAGGGGTCCAGGCCCCAGCCTCCTCCCTCAGATGCAAAGGTCCAGGCCTCAGCCCTCCTCTCTCAGACCCAGAGGTCCAGGCCCAGCCTCCTCTCTCAGGCCTAGTGGTCCAGGCCCCAGCCTCCGCCCTCAGACCAGGCGAGCCCAGACTCACGTCTCCCCCGAAGTCCGTCTCGGCAGGGGGCCCACCATTGAAGTACCTGCGAGGACCGGGGGTAGGTAAAGGTGGGGTCAGGTTGGCGGCGGGGAGCGCCGGGGGGCGGGGCTGGGGCGCGGGAGCCGCACTCACTCGATCGCGGGGAGCAGATAGTGGTTGCGGAGCCCCTCGAAGTAGGGCCCCAGGTTGGCGGTGCCCTCAATCACAAACACCACGTCGGCCACCAGGCCCCCGGCGCGGGCCGGGCCCTCGGACCCGGGGACCATGCCCCGCGCCACCCCCGCCGTCGCCACCGCCGCCACGGTCGCCGCCGAAGAGCGGAAGTGCGCCTTTTTCGCGCGTGCGCCCTTGCGGGTCCGCGGCTTGCGCTGCGCATGCGCGCCGCCATGCTTGTGCGGGGCCGCCCGGGCCTTCTTTTTTTTTTTTAACTTCATCACCGTTTACACGCACGGCGTGGACGTCTCTGACGGGGTTCTCGGAGCCCCAGGGGGATGGCTGAAGTACTACGTGAACCCTAAAGAGCGAACTACCGCTCGCTGAACAGCAGCGCCTCTTGCCATCTTTGAGCGGGGCGCCCGTTTGCCCCGGGTCCAGGGGGCGGGGTCAGGAGACCTGGTTGCTACGCAACGCGTCCACGGCCCTTGTTTCCTCACAGAGAGCTCGAGTTTCTGGTTGGCCTCTGGGGGAGGGGCGGGGGGAGGGAACGAGTGCAGGACCAGTCACGTGGTCCGAAGCGCGGTTACTAGGCAACGCGTAAGAGTGGCAGCTGGGAAGCCGGTGCGAGTTGTTTTCTTCCCTTCCCCGACCCCCCCACCCCGCCTCTAAAAGAAGCCGTAGCCTAGCCCAAGTGGACGTTGCTAGGCAACATCTGATAGTTGTTTTCTGGGAAAAAAGCCAGAAACTGACCCAGAACATAAATACATTCCAAGCGGATTAAAAATGTGAATGCAACAAATGAAACCCGAAAACGGTATTTGAAGGGAAAGAATACATGGTAAAATCCTGAAAAACTGGAACTGACACGAGTATCACTCCCGCAAAAACACAAAATATGAAATCTTGTCTGTTGACTCATCGAAGACTGCATAAATTGTGTTGAAAAATACACAATAAAGTGGAGAATATCTTTGTAACACGTGTGGATAGAAATTTGTTATGCAAATGCATCTTGCGGATAGCAGTTTCGAAAAATACACAACATGAAGACAGGAAGGAGGCTGAGCAAGCCTTATTCCCTACAAAAAAAAAAAAAGACCTTTCATCTGGAGGCGGAGGCAGAACTATCGCAAGTTCCAGGCCAGCCTGGGTAGAGTTAGGAAACCCTGTCTCAAAAACAAAACACAAATGAAAGAACTGAAGGAAGGGGGCGTGGCCTCAGTGGGTTAAAGTCTCAGTTATCATGGGGAAAAAAAATTAAACGAGGATTTTGAATGTTCCTAACAGAAATGATGAATGATGGATACAGCAATTATTCCTGATCTGATCTACCTACATTGTATGTATTGAAAGGTTACACCATCCTACTGGAATATATACAATTCAGTGTCCACCAGAAATAAAAATATGTAATTTTTTTTTTGCAGAATCTAGAACTAAAATGATGATGATGATAAATGGGACATAAGTTTAAAAGAGGAGGGTTGGGAAGGTAGCTCAGTGGTAGAGTGCTTGCCTTGCATGCATGAGGCCCCTGGGTTCAATTCCTCAGCACTACATAAGCAGAAAAAGCCGGAAGTGGTGCTGTGGCTCAAGTGGTAGAGCGCTAGCCTTGAGCTGAAGAGCTGAGGACAGCGCCCAGGCCCAGAGTTCATGCCCCATGACTGACCAAAAAAAAAAAAAGTTTAAAAGAGGAACTGTAAGAAGAGGTGTGGAAAAGGCAGGAGAGAAAGAGAGGAAAGGGTACGGTACTTGGGGATGAGGAAAATTAATGCTATATATATGAAGATAGCATGATGAAACTCACCAATTGTGTGTGTGTTTGTGTGCCAGTCCTGGGGCTTGAACTCAGGGTCTGAGTGCTGTCTCTGAGCAAGGCAAGCTCTCTACAACTTGAGTTACACCTCCGCTTCCAGTGTTTAATTGGAGTTAAGAGTCTCAGGGACTTTCCTGCCCAGGGTGACTTTGAATATTGATTCTCACATCTCGGCTTACCAAGTAGCAAGAGTTATAGGCATAAGCTACACATCCCTAGCTTGGCAGCACTATGTTGTTGGTAGTGGTGGTCATGGGGCTTGAACTCTGGGCCTGCGCGCTGTCCCTCAGCGATTCAGCTCAAGGAGAGTGCTCTACCGCTTAAGCCACAGCACCACTTCTAGTTTTCTGGTGGTTAATTGGAGATAAGAGTCTCTCTCTTTTTTTTTTTTTTGGTCTGGTCGTGGGGCCTGAACTCTGGGCCTGGGCGCTGTCCCTCAGCTCTTCAGCTCAAGGCTAGCGCTCTACCACTTGAGCCACAGCGTCACTTCCAGCTTTTTTTTTCTGCTTATGTGGTGCTGAGGAATCGAACCCAGGGCCTCATGCATGCAAGACAAGCGCTCTACCCTTGGGCCACTTTCCAGCCCAGCTAAGAGTCTCACAGTGTTTCTTGCTCGGGCTGGCTTTGAACCGCGATCCTCAGATCTCAGCCTCCTTAGTACCTAAGATGACAGAATTGAGCCACCAATGCCCGGTACAAATGTAACTTTTATGTTTCGGGAAGTAAGACTTCCTTTTTCTAATAACAAAAGCAACCATCTCATTTGATGATTACTAGGTAACCCTCGCTGGACTGAACCATTCCTGAAAGTTACAGGAGATGATGGTTTTTTCCCCTCCCATATTCTCCAGGGGAGGAGTCTGGGACCCGCAGCCATCTTTGAGAAGGGCAAAGCAGCGTTCGTGCAAATGAGATGGAAGGGTGGTTGCTAAGCAACCCCTGGCGCCCTCACCATCTTTGAGTAGGGCAGCGCGTTTGCCCGCCCCTGGGAAATGCGGTTGCTAGGCAACGGCTTAGCACCGCTTCGCCATCGCCCCGTGCTTTTTTTTTTTTTACAATCTAGGATGTAAATTATCATAACCTGCAGGATAGTTGCTAGGCAACACCTGGCCGCCACCACTCCTCATTAAGTAAACGAAGTCAAACCCTGCGTTTGTTTGGGGGAGGGGGCTGTACCTACAAAGCTTTAGACGTGGTAGACGCCATCTTTGTTACGGGTACTGTGACTTCCGGCTGGGGCGGAAGAGAACCTAGCATGGGAGTTCGTTGAGAGACTTGAATTAGATGGAGAAGGCGGGAGTTGGGTTGTCTTCCAAATAGTTTTCCGCCTCGCCCTCTGGCGGCTCCGGATGGCAGGCCCATTTCGAGAGATGGCCGGCTGGCTCCCAGATCGGCCCTGAGCTCACCCCCGGGGGGCACAGAGCCTGTTCGCGGGCGCTCCAAATGGAAGAGGAGGGGCCAGGGGCCACCGTGCATCTGCTTTGCCTCGCGGCCTCCAGCGGGGTCCCCCTGTTCTGCAGGAGCAGTCGGGGCGGCACCCCCACCCGCCAGCAGGTGTGTGGTGGTGAGGGATTCTGGACCCCTGGATCTTACGTTTTTTGGACTCCAGATTTTCTGGGCTCTTGGGGCTAGGGAGGGTTCCGTGTTGAGTTTAGAGGTCCGAGGGGCCACCGAATTAACCTGGTTCCTCGGAGAGGCTCTGCCTGACGAGGGGGGTGGGGGGCTGGAAAGCGGGATCTGGGAGCTTCTGCCTAATGCTCCCAAATCTTCCCCAGCTCCCCTTCTCTGTAATCGGCTCCCTCAATGGAGTCCACATGTTTGGACAGAATTTGGAGGTGCAACTGAACTCCGCCAAGACTGAGGACACGACTGTGGTGTGGAGAAGCTTCCATGACAGGTCCCTGGCAAAATAAAATTAAATAATTGGGGTGTGGACAAGGCCTGGGTGAGAGCCCCTGTTGAAACTGACCCCAGAGTCTTCTTTCCAGTTGTCTCTTTGGCTGTAGGGGTCTTTAACAGACTAAAAAACTGGTTCTGATCCCTGTCTTTTCTCTGGAAAAGAGGCAGGTTGGGCTGAGGGAGGGTGTAGCTAAGGTAAGACGATCTGTGCTATTCCTCTGCTGTTTCCCAGACCTGGACTCGTTGCTTCATCTCATCTTCTGTTTCTGCAGCATCACCCTTATCGTCCTGTCATCTGAGGAGGACACCTCAGAGCTGAGGCTGGAGAGACTGCTCCAGATGGTATTTGGGGCCATGGTGAGACTCCCCAGATCTCTTAGCTTTCTCCTTTCTCAGACCCAGGAGTCCAGGCTTCCAGCATTCTCCTTCCTCAATCTTGGGTGCACAGACCCTGCCCTTTCTCCCTGACACCCAAATGTTCAGGGAAGGTACCATCACCTCTATAAAACCACTTATCAGCCAGATGCTGGTGGGTCACATCTGTAATCCTAACTACTCAGGAGGCTGAGATCTGAGAATCAAGTTTCAAAACTCAGGCAGGAAAGTTCATGAGATCTTTTCTCCAATTAAGCACCAAGACAGAATTATAATTGTGGCTCTAGTGATAGAGCACTGGCCTTGAGCAAAAAAGGCTCAGGGGCAGTGCTCAGGCCCTGAGTTCAAGCACTAAGACCTGAAAAAGAAAAACAACAACAACTTATCAAGGGTCCCCACTCTTCTGTGTGGTTCTTGTAGGTTCTTTTTGTGGGACTTGAAGAACTGACCGATATCCGCAATGTAGAAAGACTGAAGAAGGAATTAAGGGTGAGGCTGAAAGATGGGAGAATGGAAACTTAGAATACGTTGATACTGACATCTGAGAACTACAACTCCCAGCAGCCCTTGGGGCAATATGACCCATGGGTTTTGGGTACAACTTGGTTTGTCTGACTCCAGAATTTTCTGGAGGAAGCAGATCTGGAGATCACCCAGATCCTGGACTCCTCATTTTTTTCTCTCTGACAGGCCAGTTATCACCTCATAGACAGTTTTCTGGGGGACTCTGAGCTCATCGGGGACCTGACCCAGTGTGTGGACTGTGTGATTCCTCCAGAGGGATCTCCCCTGCAGGTATTGGAGAGGCTGTGGAAATCTTTATCTGTTTCCATGGCTTTGGTTTGGTTCTCATCCTCTTTCCCCTTGTCTGACCCCCACTTGACCCTAAAAAAAAAATCCTGGGGCTGGGAAGGTGGCTCAGTGGTAGAGCGCTTGCCTTGCATGCATGAGGCCTTAGGTTCGATTCCTCAGCACCACATAAGCAAAAAGAAAAAAGCCGGAAGTGGCTCTGTGGCTCAAGTGGTAGAGTGCTAGCCTTGAGCTGAAGAGCTGAG